ATGGTGTCGGATTTTCCGACAGTGGTGGTGGTGGACCAGGTTGGGGTGGTGGGCCAGACTGGGGTGGTGGTGGTGGTGGTGGGCCAGGCTGGGGTGGTGGTGGTGGTGGGCCAGGTTGGGGTGGTGGTGGTGGTGGTGGGCCAGGCTGGGGTGGTGGTTGTGGAAGGGGACACCGTGCAGGGGAACACGTCACATAACCTCCTGGTATCGACACCTGCAACTGGAGCCGTTGAGGGCGAGCACTTCCCTCCCCAGACACCCCTCATGGGGACACGAGGGGGACTCACTCACGGGGACACGGGGGGGGGCTCGCTCACGGGGACACGAGGAGGACTCGCTCACGGGGACACGGGGGGGACTCGCTCACGGGGACACGGGGGGACTCGCTCACGGGGACACGGGGGGGCTCGCTCACGGGGACATGGGGGGACTCGCTCACGGGGACATGGGGGGGACTTGCTCACGGGGACACGGGGGGGACTCGCTCACGGGAACACGGGGGGGACTCGCTCACGGGGGGGGGGACTCGTTCACGGGGACACGGGGGGACTCGCTCACGGGGACACGAAGGGGACTCACGGGGACACGGGGGGGACTCGCTCACGGGGACACGAGGGGGACTCGCTCACGGGGACACGGGGGGGACTCGCTCACGGGGACACGGGGGGACTCGCTCACGGGGACACGGGGCCGGGGGACTCGCTCACGGGGACACGGGGGGACTCACTCACGGGGACACAGGGGACTCGCTCACGGGGACACGAGGGGGACTCGCTCACGGGGACACGAGGGGGACTCGCTGACGGGGACACGAGGGGGACTCGCTCACGGGGACACGAGGGGGACTCGCTGACGGGGACACGAGGGGGACTCGCTGACGGGGACACGAGGGGGACTCGCTGACGGGGACACGAGGGGGACTCGCTGACGGGGACACGAGGGGGACTCGCTGACGGGGACACGAGGGGGACTCGCTGACGGGGACACGAGGGGGACTCGCTGACGGGGACACGAGGGGGACTCGCTGACGGGGACACGAGGGGGACTCGCTGACGGGGACACGAGGGGGACTCGCTGACGGGGACACGAGGGGGACTCGCTGACGGGGACACGAGGGGGACTCGCTGACGGGGACACGAGGGGGACTCGCTGACGGGGACACGAGGGGGACTCGCTGACGGGGACACGAGGGGGACTCGCTGACGGGGACACGAGGGGGACTCGCTGACGGGGACACGAGGGGGACTCGCTGACGGGGACACGAGGGGGACTCGCTGACGGGGACACGAGGGGGACTCGCTGACGGGGACACGAGGGGGACTCGCTGACGGGGACACGAGGGGGACTCGCTGACGGGGACACGAGGGGGACTCGCTGACGGGGACACGAGGGGGACTCGCTGACGGGGACACGAGGGGGACTCGCTGACGGGGACACGAGGGGGACTCGCTGACGGGGACACGAGGGGGACTCGCTGACGGGGACACGAGGGGGACTCGCTGACGGGGACACGAGGGGGACTCGCTGACGGGGACACGAGGGGGACTCGCTGACGGGGACACGAGGGGGACTCGCTGACGGGGACACGAGGGGGACTCGCTGACGGGGACACGAGGGGGACTCGCTCACGGGGACACGAAGGGGACTCGCTCACGGGGACACGAAGGGGACTCGCTCACGGGGACACGGGGGGACTCACGGGGACTCGCTCACGGGGACACGGGGGGACTCACGGGGACACGAGGGGGACTCGCTCACGGGGACACGAGGGGGACTCGCTCACGGGGACACGGGGGGACTCGCTCACGGGGACACGGGGGGACTCGCTCACGGGGACACGGGGGGACTCACGGGGACACGAGGGGGACTCACGGGGACACGAGGGGGACTCACGGGGACACGAGGGGGACTCACGGGGACACGAGGGGGACTCACGGGGACACGAGGGGGACTCACGGGGACACGAGGGGGACTCACGGGGACACGAGGGGGACTCACGGGGACACGAGGGGGACTCACGGGGACACGAGGGGGACTCACGGGGACACGAGGGGGACTCGCTCACGGGGACACGAGGGGGACTCGCTCACGGGGACACGAGGGGGACTCGCTCACGGGGACACGAGGGGGACTCGCTCACGGGGACACGAGGGGGACTCGCTCACGGGGACACGAGGGGGACTCGCTCACGGGGACACGAGGGGGACTCACGGGGACTCGCTCACGGGGACACGTGGGGGACTCACTCACGGGGACACGAGGGGGACTCACTCACGGGGACTCGGGGGGGACTCGCTCACGGGGACTCGGGGGGGACTCGCTCACGGGGACACGAGGGGGACTCGCTGACGGGGACACGAAGGGGACTCGCTCACGGGGACACGGGGGGACTCACGGGGACTCGCTCACGGGGACACGGGGGGACTCACGGGGACTCGCTTACGGGGACATGAGGGGGACTCATGGGGACTCGGGGGGGACTCACGGGGACACGGGGGGATTCACGGGGACACGGGGGGACTCACGGGGACACGGGGGACTCACGGGGACACGAGGGGGACTCACGGGGATACGGGAGGGGGACTCGCTCACGGGGACACGAGGGGGACTCGCTCACGGGGACACGGGGGGACTCACTCACGGGGACACGAGGGGGACTCGCTCACGGGGACACGAGGGGGACTCGCTCACAGGGACACGAGGGGGACTCGCTCACGGGGACACGAGGGGGACTCGCTCACGGGGACACGAGGGGGACTCGCTCACGGGGACACGAGGGGGACTCGCTCACGGGGACACGAGGGGGACTCGCTCACGGGGACACGAGGGGGACTCGCTCACGGAGACACGAGGGGGACTCACTCACGGGGACACGAGGGGGACTCACTCACGGGGACACGAGGGGGACTCACGGGGACACGAGAGGGACTCACGGGGACACGAGGGGGACTCACTCACGGGGACACGAGGGGGACTCACTCACAGGGACACGAGGGGGACTCACTCACGGGGACACGAGGGGGACTCACGGGGACACGGGGGACTCACTCGCGGGGACACGGGGGACTCACTCACGGGGACACGAGGGGACTCACTCACGGGGACACGGGGGACTCACTCACGGGGACACGGGGGACTCACTCACGGGGACACGGGGGACTCACTCACGGGGACACGGGGGACTCACTCACGGGGACACGGGGGACTCACTCACGGGGACACGGGGGACTCACTCACGGGGACACGGGGGACTCACTCACGGGGACACGGGGGACTCACTCACGGGGACACGGGGGACTCACTCACGGGGACACGGGGGACTCACTCACGGGGACACGGGGGACTCACTCACGGGGACACGGGGGACTCACTCACGGGGACACGGGGGGACTCACTCACGGGGACACGGGGGGACTCACTCACGGGGACACGGGGGGACTCACTCACGGGGACACGGGGGGACTCACGGGGACACGGGGGGACTCACTCACGGGGACACGGGGGGACTCACTCACGGGGACACGGGGGGACTCACTCACGGGGACACGGGGGGACTCACTCACGGGGACACGGGGGGACTCACTCACGGGGACACGGGGGGACTCACTCACGGGGACACGGGGGGACTCACTCACGGGGACACGGGGGGACTTACTCACGGGGACACGGGGGGACTCACTCACGGGGACACGGGGGGACTCACTCACGGGGACACGGGGGGACTCACTCACGGGGACACGGGGGACTCACTCACGGGGACACGGGGGGACTCACTCACGGGGACACGGGGGACTCACTCACGGGGACACGGGGGACTCACTCACGGGGGCACTGTTGAGAGACAACAGCAGGGAGCGCCAAAACTATCAGGAGAAAGCGGCAATCCGTTACGTCTATATTGCCCCTGGAAGGGATCAGGTTAATGATCTGGGATGGGACAAGAAGGGGGGGGGGGGATAGTGCCCTACCTCTTAGACGGTTGGGGATTGAACGCCGACCTGCAAGCAGCAAGGTCGTGTGCTCCTGTACCCACCTGTGTGTAAAACTAGTAGGGTGAGGCTTACCATGAGCTATGGGAAGGGAAAACTCTCAGCCAGCTAACAGGAGTCAGCAGTCGTCTGCTCCTGCTGGGTGGTAGATTATAATAGTGGTAGTTGGTGAGGTAGGTGTGGTTGGGGAGGTGTTTGGTAGTGTGGGGCTGGTTGCTGGGTGGATGAGTTACTGGGAGGGGATTGGTGGTAGAGGGAGTTGAATGGCAGTAGTGTGCTGGGATGTGGTCACTGCCTGACAGGAGAGGTAATCAACACGACTCAACAGTTGGTTATTCATGACCATTTTGTACTTATCTGACGAAGGTGTGGCGGGAAATAGGTCATCATAGGTAACATATATAATAAGTTACATAATAGGTTACTATTATATATAACAAGCTGCCCCTTGTATCCGATGCGCCCCATAACCACACAAATATTGTGTACAATATTGGGCCAGCGTCATTTTTGGGTATTTTTTCTACCCAAAAGCCAAAGAATCTTAGGGAGAAGAGCGTCAGTTTTGCGATGCTTTTAATATGAGTAGAGCGTGGTAATGTTGACGTTGTGGTCCACTGCGTCCAAAGTGCGGTACATTAAGCGTGAAAACAAAGCCGTGTGCCCCCGAGGTAACTTTCCCTACAACCACCTTTTGCAGGGTGACTAGTGGTCTGGTGGGGACAGTCATAGGGGGGTGCAGATCATCCTGCACCCCCCAGGATGTAGGGGGGGTTAGTGGTGTTGGTGGTTAGTGATGAAGGTAGTTAGTGGTGAAGATGGTTAATGGTGAAGGTGGTTAATGGTGAAGGTGGTTAATGGTGAAGGTGGTTAGTGGTGAAGACAGCGTATAGTGAAGATCTTCACCACCATCACCCTAGCTAGTATTAAGACAAAAACCAATACAAACATGTCAGGTGTTAATACAGGCACAGTAAATCACCCTTCCATCCCCTCCCTTCCCTTCCACAGCGCTTCACCTGACGGAGGACGTTGCCGGGGCCACCTTCATGGCAGCCGGGTCGTCGGCGCCGGAGCTGGCAACCTCGGTCATCGCCGTCTTCGTCGCCAAGGTAATGTCACCTCTGCCTCAAGTGTTCTCTAAGTCAACTTTGGCTCTCACCAGACATTTACTGAGGCGTCGTAAGGGGGTCTTACCTGAGGCTGGGATTTGTGTACAGTTTCTTAGAGCAGTGGTTTAGGGTGTGTGTGGTTTAGGGTGTGTGTGGGTTAGGGTGTGTGTGGGTTAGGGTGTGTGTGGTTTAGGGTGTGTGTGGTTTAGGGTGTGTGGTTTAGGGTGTGTGGTTTAGGGTGTGTGTGTGTGTGTGTGTGGTTTAGGGTGTGTGTGGTTTAGGGTGTGTGGTTTAGGGTGTGTGTGGTTTAGGGTGTGTGTGGTTTAGGGTGTGTGTGTGGTTTAGGGTGTGTGGTTTAGGGTGTGTGTGTGGTTTAGGGTGTGTGTGGTTTAGGGAGTGTGTGGTTTAGGGTGTGTGTGTGGTTTAGGGTGTGTGTGGTTTAGGGTGTGTGTGGTTTAGGGTGTGTGTGGTTTAGGGTGTGTGTGGTTTAGGGTGTGTGTGGTTTAGGGTGTGTGTGGTTTAGGGTGTGTGTGGTTTAGGGAGTGTGTGGTTTAGGGTGTGGTTTAGGGTGTGGGGTTTAGGGTGTGTGTGGTTTAGGGTGTGGTTTAGGGTGTGTGTGGTTTAGGGTGTGTGTGGTTTAGGGTGTGTGTGGTTTAGGGAGTGTGTGGTTTAGGGTGTGTGGTTTAGGGTGTGTGTGGTTTAGGGTGTGTGTGGTTTAGGGTGTGTGTGGTTTAGGGTGTGTGTGGTTTAGGGAGTGTGTGGTTTAGGGTGTGGTTTAGGGTGTGGGGTTTAGGGTGTGTGTGGTTTAGGGTGTGTGTGGTTTAGGGTGTGTGTGGTTTAGGGTGTGTGTGGTTTAGGGAGTGTGTGGTTTAGGGTGTGGTTTAGGGTGTGGGGTTTAGGGAGTGTGTGGTTTAGGGTGTGGTTTAGGGTGTGTGTGGTTTAGGGTGTGTGTGGTTTAGGGTGTGTGTGGTTTAGGGAGTGTGTGGTTTAGGGTGTGTGTGGTTTAGGGTGTGTGTGGTTTAGGGTGTGTGTGGTTTAGGGTGTGTGGTTTAGGGTGTGGTTTAGGGTGTGTGTGGTTTAGGGTGTGTGTGGTTTAGGGTGTGTGTGGTTTAGGGAGTGTGTGGTTTAGGGTGTGTGTGGTTTAGGGTGTGTGTGGTTTAGGGTGTGTGGTTTAGGGTGTGGTTTAGGGTGTGTGTGGTTTAGGGTGTGTGTGGTTTAGGGTGTGGTTTAGGGTGTGGGGTTTAGGGAGTGTGTGGTTTAGGGTGTGTGGTTTAGGGTGTGTGTGGTTTAGGGGGTGTGTGGTTTAGGGTGTGTGTGGTTTAGGGTGTGTGTGGTTTAGGGTGTGTGTGGTTTAGGGGTGTGTGTGGTTTAGGGTGTGTGTGGTTTAGGGTGTGTGTGGTTTAGGGTGTGTGTGGTTTAGGGTGTGTGTGGTTTAGGGTGTGTGTGGTTTAGGGTGTGTTTGGTTTAGGGTGTGGTTTAGGGTGTGTGTGGTTTAGGGGGTGTGTGGTTTAGGGTGTGTGTGGTTTAGGGTGTGTGTGGTTTAGGGTGTGTGTGTGGTTTAGGGTGTGTGTGGTTTAGGGTGTGTGGTTTAGGGTGTGGTTTAGGGTGTGTGTGGTTTAGGGTGTGTGTGGTTTAGGGTGTGGTTTAGGGTGTGTGTGGTTTAGGGTGTGTGGTTTAGGGTGTGTGTGGTTTAGGGTGTGTGTGGTTTAGGGTGTGTGTGGTTTAGGGTGTGTGTGGTTTAGGGTGTATGTGGTTTAGGGTGTGTGTGGTTTAGGGTGTGGTTTAGGGTGTGTGTGGTTTAGGGTGTGTGTGGTTTAGGGTGTGTGTGGTTTAGGGTGTGTGTGGTTTAGGGTGTGTGTGTGGTTTAGGGTGTGTGTGTGGTTTAGGGTGTGTGTGTGGTTTAGGGTGTGTGTGGTTTAGGGTGTGTGTGGTTTAGGGTGTGTGTGGTTTAGGGTGTGTGTGGTTTAGGGTGTGTGTGGTTTAGGGTGTGGTTTAGGGTGTGTGTGGTTTAGGGTGTGTGTGGTTTAGGGTGTGTGTGGTTTAGGGTGTGGTTTAGGGTGTGTGTGGTTTAGGGTGTGTGTGGTTTAGGGTGTGTGTGGTTTAGGGTGTGTGTGGTTTAGGGTGTGGTTTAGGGTGTGTGTGGTTTAGGGTGTGTGTGGTTTAGGGTGTGTGGTTTAGGGTGTGTGTGTGGTTTAGGGTGTGTGTGGTTTAGGGTGTGTGGTTTAGGGTGTGTGGTTTAGGGTGTGTGTGGTTTAGGGTGTGTGGTTTAGGGTGTGTGTGGTTTAGGGTGTGTGGTTTAGGGTGTGTGTGGTTTAGGGAGTGTGTGGTTTAGGGTGTGTGTGTGGTTTAGGGTGTGTGTGGTTTAGGGTGTGTGTGTGGTTTAGGGTGTGTGGTTTAGGGTGTGTGTGGTTTAGGGTGTGTGTGGTTTAGGGAGTGTGTGGTTTAGGGTGTGTGTGGTTTAGGGTGTGTGTGGTTTAGGGTGTGTGTGTGGTTTAGGGTGTGTGTGTGTGGTTTAGGGTGTGTGTGTGTGGTTTAGGGTGTGTGTAGGGTTTAGGGTGTGTAATTACCTAAGTGTAGTTACAAGATGAGAGCTACGCTCGTGGTGTCCCGTCTTCCCAGCACTCTTTGTCATATAACGCTTTGAAACTACTGACGGTCTTGGCCTCCACCACCTTCTCACTTAACTTGTTCCAACTGTCTACCACTCTGTTTGCGAAAGTGAATTTTCTTATATTTCTTCGGCATCTGTGTTTAGCTAGTTTAAATATATGACCTTGTTCTTGAAGTTCCAGGTCTCAGGAAATCTTCCGTATCGATTTTATCAATTCCTGTTACCATTTTGTATGTAGTGATCACATCACCTCTCTTTCTTCTGTCTTCTAGTTTTGGCATATTTAATGCCTCTAACCTCTCCTCGTAGCTCTTGCTCTTCAGTTCTGGGAGCCACTTAGTAGCGTGTCTTTGCACCTTTTCCAGTTTGTTGATGTGCTTCTTAAGATATGGGCACCACACAACCGCTGCATATTCTAGCTTTGGCCTAACAAAAGTCGTGAATAATTTATTTAGTATATCGTCGTCCATGTATTTAAAAGCAATTCTGAAGTTAGAAAGCGTGGCATAGGCTCCTTGCACAATATTCTTTGTGGTCCTCAGGTGATAGTTTTCTATCTAGAACCACCCCTAGATCTCTTTCTTTATCAGAATTCTTTAAAGATTTCTCACATAATATATAGGTTGTGTGGGGTCTATGTTCTCCTATTCCACATTTCATAACATGGCATTTATTAACATTAAATTCCATTTGCCAAGTGGTGCTCCATATACTTATTTTGTCCAGGTCATCTTGAAGGGCATGACAATCATCTAAGTTTCTTATCCTTCCTATTATCTTATCATCAGCAAACATGTTCATATAATTCTGTATACCAACTGGTAGATCATTTATGTAGACAATAAACATCACTGGTGCAAGAACTGAACCCTGTGGTACTCCACTTGTGACATTTCTCCATTCCGATACATTGCCTCTGATTACTGCCCTCATTTTTCTATCGGTCAGAAAATTTATCATCCATGTTAGAAGCTTACCTGTCACCCCTCCAATATTTTCCAGTTTCCAGAACAACCTCTTATGTGGAACTCTGTCGAAAGCCTTTTTTAGGTCCAGATAGATGCAGTCAACCCAACCATCTCTTTCCTGTAAAATCTCTGTTGCTCGATCATAGAAACTGAGTAAATTTGATACACAGGATCTTCCTGATCGAAAACCATACTGTCTGTCTGATATTATATCATTTCTCTCCAGGTGTTCTACCCATTTAGTTTTAATTATTTTTTCCAATGTTTTGACTATTACACTTGTCAATGATACAGGTCTATAATTAAGGGGGTCTTTCCTGCTTCCACTTTTGTAGATTGGAACTATGTTAGCCTTTTTGCACACATCAGCTACAACTCCTGTAAACAGGGATGCCTGAAAAATCAGTTGAAGAGGAATGCTGAGCTCAGGTGCACATTCTCTCAGAACCCATGGTGAAACTCCATCTGGACCAACTGCTTTGTTCTTATTTAGCTCCTTGAACATTTTTTCCACTTCGTCTCTAGACACCTCTATGTGCTCTATGTTGTTCTCTGGAATTCTTATTGTATCTGGTTCCCTGAAGATTTAATTTTGTACAAACACTTTGGAACTTTTCGTTTAATGTTTCACACATTTCCTTTTCATTTTCCGTGAATCTATTTCCCATTTTCAACCTCTGAATATTATCCTTTACCTGCAATTTGTTGTTTATGAATTTATAGAATAGACCTGGTTCTGTTTTACATTTGTCTGCAATCCCTTTTTTTAAATTTCTTTCTGCCTCTCTCCTCACTGCCGTGTAGTTGTTTCTCGCACCTTTGTATAGCTGGTATGTTTGGGGGTTCGGCCTCTTCCTGTATTGATTCCATTTTTGTGTCTTTTGGTCTCTAGCCCTCTCGCAATTTCTGTTGAACCAATCCTGTTTCCTAGTTCTGCATCTCTGTTTTGGTATAAATTTTTTTGTGCCTTTATCATATATTTCACAAAACTTGACATACATCTCATTCACTTCCTTGCCTAGCAACAAGTCTGTCCAATTATACTCACTAAATTTTTTTCTAAGGTTGCCATAATGTCCTCTCCTAAAGTCAGGTTTTTCAATTGCTTCAACCTTCTTATTTTCTCCCAGATTATAACGCATTGCATACTTTATTCCCGAAAAGACATGGTCACTTTTACCCAAGGGAGGAAGGTGTGTGTGGTTTAGGGTGTGTGTGGTTTAGGGTGTGTGTGGTTTAGGGTGTGTGTGGTTTAGGGTGTGTGTGGTTTAGGGTGTGTGTGGTTTAGGGTGTGTGGTGCTCAGGGTGTGTGTGGTGCTCAGGGTGTGTGTGGTGCTCAGGGTGTGTGTGGTGCTCAGGGTGTGTGTGGTGCTCAGGGTGTGTGTGGTGCTCAGGGTGTGTGTGGTGCTCAGGGTGTGTGT